CTTTTTTCCTTCCTTTCATGTATTTAGGACAGGGTCTATAGGATCTACAGAGTCTCGCTGCATAGATTGGACTTGCAGTGATTCTCCTGTTTTCAGCCTCCCAAGCACTGAGATTGCAGGTGTGCATCACCACGCCCAGTCTCATTCACCATCTCAGTGCGTCCCCAGGGCTGGGGCTAGCATTGCATGCTGGGAATCGAACCCTGGCCACTGCATTCTGCCTAAGCAGGCGCAAGGTGCTCTTTCAATCCCAGAAAGACAGTGTTGTGCTAGCGCTAGCTATTGTGAATGGTGGCATTGACTGTCATTTCAAGTTCCAGATTAGGGGTAGAGGTTAGCATGTGTGTCAGCCTGGGGGATGGGTCTGGATTCCTGGTGGACTTCTTGCCCACGGCCTTGGGACACTATGAGAATTTTTTTCAGGAGCCCTGAGAAGCCTGGCCATCTTCCTAACCACATTAAAGCAGCTGGCCAGGGTTCCTGAAGTAGCCTATCTGATGCCGGCATAGGTGTGAGATTTCTCACAGATGAAGCTGTCAATTAGAGGCCTCCTCTTGGTACCAGGCAGATCTCAGCGCCCACCTCACCTTGGGGAAGGATAGTCAAGGCTGTGACAACTTCCCCAGGCAAGATCTTTTGAGGGATAATTTGGCCAGGCTAGCTATCACATGCTAATTAGGTAGGCTGCAATTATGCTGGCAAGGCCTAAAAGCCCAGCACTTCCATGGACTTTAAGTTACTTACCTAGTGTCTCCGATTTTGCAGGGAGAAAATAATTTCTTGCCCCCAGGTAAACTAAACCCATAAATTAGGGAAGTGGCTCTCTCCTGAGCCTTATAAAAGAGGAGGCCAAGATCAGAGGTTGGTGAACTGCATCACAGCTAAGGACTAGCATCTTCTTCCAGCTCTCTGGCCTCCCCATCATGAACCGCCAACTCACCTACAAGCAGGGAGCTGTTACCAAAGGGGGCTTTAGCGGCTGTTCTGCAGTCCTCTCCAGGGGCAGCTCATCCTCCTACCGTGCAGGGGCCAAAGGGCTCAATGGGGGCTTTGGCAGTCGGAGTCTCTACAGTTTGGGGGTCACCCGGAGCATGCCCTTCAATGTGGCCAGTGGCTCTGGGCGGGCAGGGGGCTATGGGCTTGGCTGGGGTCGGGCCAGTGGCTTTGCGGGCAGCATGCTTGGTAATGTGGCTCTAGGACCTTCATCTCCATCCATGTACCTGCCTGGGGGCATCCACCAGGTCACCATCAACAAGAGCCTCCTGGCGCCCCTCAATGTGGAGCTGGACCCCGAGATCCAGAAGGTGCGCGCCCAGGAGCGGGAGCAGATCAAGGCGCTGAACAACAAGTTTGCCTCCTTCATCGACAAGGTGGGTTTTATGGAGAAAGCTGAGCATGAAGCCTCTGTCCTTCCTCTACCTTTTCTGATTCTGTGGGACACCTTCTCAAGATGCAGGCACAGCTCAGGACAGAGCAGAGAGAGACTGGACCATAACTTGGACACCAAAGCCAAGGGACAGGAGCAGAGGGGTGAGAGGAGCTAGAAAGCTTCACCTGGAAAGGAGTATGGGAGGCAGAAACGGCCTTCAGATGGAGGGAAAGGAGGTGGCCACCTGTGAGACTCAGAAGCCAGGCAGAGGAGAGGCCAATGGCAGCCTGGTTATTGGGGAAGCTAGGGAGCCCTGTGCTTCCCTTCAGGGGACCCAGGCTAGCACAGACCTGGGTGGCATGAAAAACTCAGTATAAAACACACTCAGCCTATGAAGTGAGGTAAACGTGTCCACACCAGGGCCAGGATTCTCAAAAGTGGCCCCTGAGTCAGAAATATCTATTTGTTAGAAACACTCCCAGACCCATCACAGACCAAAGATGTTCTTTGTGGGACCCAGAAATCTGCATTTTGACAAATGTCTTAGGTAATTCTGATGCACTCTGAGGGGTCTCAAAGGTAAAAGGGTCTTAGTCTTATGAATAGCTACTCCTTGGTCTTAGAGATGAGGGAACTCATGGGGGTAGGGGACAGTAAGGTAGGGTGGGAAAGAATGAATAGGAGCTTTCTCAGTGTGAACCAAAGCAGTCCAGGTAGAGAGAGAGCATACAGGCTAATAGGGTCTTCTAGGGCAGGGAGGCCTTGAGTTGGTGACTGTTGAGTATACCATAGAGGAGGGGAAGAAGGTGCACTGGCCACATTGCGAAGAGCACGGTAAAAAATATGGATTTGACCCGGTGGGTGATGTGAAACCACTAGAGGGTTTTAAGTAAGGAAATGGTGTTATATTTGTAGGTTATGATTGCAGAATGCTTCTTTTCCCTCTGAAGAAATGCTTTGCTTGAGAATAGAGATCCAGGCCTGAAAGTCACAGAGGAGGACTCAGGACCTCAGATTGGCAGAGCATCTGCCTCTGGCTAGGGTGGAAGAGGCCACGAACAAGGAGACAAAGAATTGGCAGAGCACAGGCCCAGCCACTAGGCCCCAAGCAGAGGGAGGATGTGTTGGCTCAGTATCTGGAAGTAGACATGGGTCCAGGAAGAAGTAGTCGGCTGCAGAGGAGACAGAAACTTGAAACTGCAACTGACAGAGAGGAAAAGCAGATGTTGGGGTCCTTCCCGATCTTGGGGGCTGTCCCCAGAGTGAAGGCCTGTGTCAGAGTCAGGGTCTTCAGCTGGGAGGAGCTTGAATGGCATTTTAAAGGGCTTACCTTTTAAGCTACTGTAGCACAAGACAACACAATTCCCTGAAGGAAGACTGAAGTTGATTGTCTGATGACTGAGACTCATAAGGCTGTTGGTTTGGGTTCTAGGTGCGCTTCCTGGAGCAGCAGAACCAGGTGCTGCAGACCAAGTGGGAGCTGCTGCAGCAGCTGGACCTGAACAACTGCAGGCAGAACCTGGAGCCCATTTACGAGGGCCACATCAGCAGCCTGCGGAAGCAGCTGGATATGCTGTCTGGGGACAGGGTGAGGCTGGACTCGGAGCTCAGGAGCATGAGGGAAATGGTGGAGGACTACAAGAAGAGGTGAGCAGGGACACTGCACCCAGGCTAGCCACCTTCTGAGGCTGGGTTTTCTCAGTAGGCAATGGGACATCTGATTATGGGCACAAGGGCTGAAATTGGGCAGAGCAACCCATTGTGTTCATCTGCTTAGGCAAGATGACTACCTTTTATGGGCAACCAGGTCAGGTGGGTAGCTGATAGTCAATATCTTGTGCAGTGCCAGGAATGCCCCTCCTTGGCAATGCCCCTTGGATCTCAATTCCCCCTTCTTGCTCTTCACTTGAGTGTGTATGTGTGACAACCAGCAGGTTCCTGCACTCATTCAGTGTGCGGAGTTCTAAGGAAATGCCCTGCAGGGAAGGAGGTAGACTCCTGCGGACTTCCCCTCTCATTTCCCTGAGGTCCTGTATATTTGAGCCAGCTCTTTCCTGTCCTGGGAGACAGTGCTGTCTTGGGACTCCTGCCCCAGGATGGAGTGGAGTTGGCAGGGTTGTCAGACAATAGGCTTTCAAGAAGCATGACAGAAAGGAGCAGTGGTGTTCTCCTGGGATTTGGGTACTGAGTGAGAGGAGGAAGAATGTCCTCACTTCACAAGCATCTGGAAATCCAGACCATCCAGTCATCAGGCCCAAGAGGCTACCCACAGCTTGGCTAAATAGTCTGAGTGAGTTGGGACCATTTCAAAGGCTCCCAACCTGTTAAAAGGCTCTTTAATATGAGTCTTTTTTTTTTTTTAATTCCTCAGTGAGAACACACAGACACACACTGGTGCACACACTGACACAGACACATACATATACCAGCTCAACAGTTAATTTCCTGCAGGTATGAAGAGGAAATAAACAAGCGCACAACTGCAGAGAATGACTTTGTGGTGCTTAAGAAGGTGAGGCAGATGCTGGCCCTTGGTTCCCCAGGTGCAGGAACAGAGGGGGGATTGCGGCCTATGCTCTACATGGAAGTGTCTGGTGCTGAGGAGCCAGAGGGGGAGAGAGAGGGCCTGCTGACCTGATGGTCACCTAGCACCAGTCATTTATCAACGCTTTGTTCTTTTAAGAGAAAGGAGTCCAGAGGCGGACAGTCAGTTCCCACCTCGAGCCCATCGTGCCAGGGAACAGGACAGACTCTGGGAGGGGCTGAGGTCTTCCCCTCTGCTTGTACCTGGCAAATCTTTGTGGCTGTGCCAGCCCACTGACTGCCTGATGACTGCTATGTGGAGGAGTGGGCTCTTGGGCCCTCTTTTGAGGAAGAAGTGGAGGGAGCTCCAGAGGCCTGAGGAGTCTGCCTGAGGCTTGGTAGTGAGTCCCCAGGTGAAATGAGTATTGAGTCTTTTCCTTGGGCACCAAGTCACAGGGTTGGGCACTGGGGCATTTCCTGGGAGAGGCTTATACGAGCTTAAGGAAAGGGTATGTCAAGGGGCCTCTGGATTCTCCTCAGGATGTGGATGCAGCATACATGATGAAGGTGGAGCTACAGATTAAGGTGGATGTCCTGGAGGAAGAAATCAAATTTTTCAAGTGCCTGTATGAAAGGGTAAGACATCGCTTCTCCAATCTGTCTTCTGGAAAGACAGACTTGTAATGAATAGTTACCATACTCAGTAACTATGAGCTCAGGGATCACCAGCAGTTGGGTGCTAGGAGCGCTGGGGATCTAAGGCAGATGATCTATCTTGGTGTTCCATCAGTCCCTGCCTGGCTTCAGATGTCCTGCTGTCACATCTTTAAGAAAGCTGTCGGTCCTGATGAGGTCCCCATTAAACCTCAGACTAACATATTCTTGTTCCTGCTTGTCATCCGGATGCTTGGGATGTTTCCAGGAGTGTCCAGGAGGTGGGGTCCTCTCATAACCTTTCTCCTTTTTTTTGTGAACATCTGACTTTCAGTCTTAGCCTGTTGGCCAAGCATTCATGGCCTCCTGTGTCCTGAGTATCCCTCTTCTATTGGCCAGGAAGTTTTCCTCCTCCTTCCCCATGTCTCAAGCACCACACATATGAGCTGTCTTCTCTTTGGCCTGCCTCAAACCCTCTCAGAAGTTTTCTGGCATTGTATTGAAACTTGAGCTGGCCAGCTCTGCTCTCACAGGCTCTGGGGACTGCAGCTTGTGTCTGTTCGGGGTGATCTGGAGCCATCCTGTTGGGACATGGCCATTATCTTAGCACCTTCTTCTGATTGCAAAGGTATTTCATGATTCCTTCTCTGTCCTGCAGGAGATTGCTCAGATGCAGTCCCATATCAGTGACACATCTGTCATCCTGTCCATGGACAACAACCGGAACCTGGACCTGGACAGCATCATCACTGAGGTCCGTGCCCAGTATGAAGACATCGCCCTGAAGAGCAAGGCTGAAGCTGAGGCTCTGTACCAGACCAAGGTGAGGCTGTGCAGTTGCTCAGAGTTGTGCGCGCAGGGCTCCTGCTTAGTCTGTCTCCTCTGTTGCATGACCTGCCATGGTCCCTGAACTCTAGCCAAGCGTATTCTCAATCTTAGTGCTATGCATTGTCCCTGGTGCTCAGAGAGGTCCAAATGGAGGAGAAGACATGGCTTTGCCCTTGGGTTCACTTAGACAGTGGCAGCCATTGGAGGCTGTAGGCAGCTGACTGTAGAGGGCACACTCAGGTGCCAGGAGGTGGTGGGGCAGGTCAGGACCAGTTTGCTAGAGGCAGAGAGCACTGCATGTAGTCCGGGGGAGGAGAAACGTGAGTAGGTAGCACCTCAGCACTTTCGTCATTATAATAAATTAGGGGGTCCTTCAGTGTTATTTGGGATCAGGTGACTCCCACCTTTTTACTTAAGCCCAACTCTGAGGATAAAGGAGAGTCTGCGCCTCTTAGATCTTGACTCATCTAATGGGTTGTGGGTGGGAAGTGGCTGTAGATAATTCAGTTTCTCAGATCAAGATGGCACATTGTAATTGTTGCCCGTTCAGGCTCTTTCTCTAGGGAAATAATTCTTGGGCGACCTTATCTCTGCCTCTCCCTTACCTCCTTGTTAGCATGGGACAGAGAGATTTGCCCTTCCGGGAAGCAGGGGGAAGCTTTCGAGCCCCAAGAGACAGCACAGGCCAGAGCTTCTTGAGAGAGGCTCAGATTTTAATCCCTTGCACATGACCATTACAAGCCATGGAGTGAAAAAATAAGAAGCACGGGCTCCAGGGAGGAGCACAGGCTGAGAACTGGGCAGCAGGAGAGAGCCGCCTATAAGAATAAGGGCGCCCTGCTCACACTGCCTTCCAAGGAAGCAGGACAAGGCCACCTGCCCTAGGGCAGCACCCAAGGCTGAATGCAAAGAGCCTCCAGAGGACTTGACATCATCCCCAGGAGGAATCCTGAATCTGGGGCCAGGCTGGTGCTGGCACTCAGGCACAGAGACAAGCAGAGCACTGCCCCAGGGTACTGCTTGTACTGTGTGAAAGTACCCCTATGCTGCATTTCCTTAAACCAGATTCTGGGCTAGAACTGTTGACTAGTCAATGGGTGACATCAAGGGCAGGAGTAATCCCAAATGGTAGATTACCTGAAATTCATGGCTGGTAGTGCTAGAGTTTAGCTGAATCTACCCTATCACACACGCAGGCAGGCACACGTGCACACACATGCGCACTCCCACACATGAACACTTGGTGTTCCTTCATATTAAGCCATTTTTCTCTCCCAGCCCATCAAGATAGCTTAGGGCTGAACTAAGCTACCAAAAAGATCTTAGAAAAAGGGCCAGCCAGATAGCTCACTGGATTAAAGTCCCTGCTTAGGCAGACACAGGGACCAGGTTCGATTCCTGCTTGCTCGGCTGGCCCTACCCCTGGGGTGCACTGAGACTGGACTGAGCCTGGGCATGGTGGCATGTGACTGTAATCCCAGCACTTGGGAGGTCCAAAACAGGAGGATCACTACGAGTCCAATCTGTATAGTGAGACCCTGCAGACCCTATTGACCCTGCACTAAATACAACACAAAACCAAACCAAACCAAAAAACAAAAAAGAAAATAGGGACATACAATTTATTCATTTATCAATCACACCTTTTTGTTTGAGACAGGGTCTCACTCTGCAGTTCAGGTTGGCTTGGAGCTCACTATGTAGCCCATGCTGGCCTCAAACTGACAGTGATCCTCCGGCTTCAGCCTCCCAGGTGCTGGGATTACAGGTGTGTGGCACCACACCCAGATCAGTCAGATCTTTTGGAACCATGAACAAAGTACTAGGAAAGCAGTGAGGAAAAGTGTGATAAGGAAGGCACAGAGATGTGCCATCATGGTACATTGTAGTCTTACACATGGACTGGTGTGTCAGGGACAACAGGAACAGAATTGCACACAACCAGTGGCTGAGGGAAGGCTCCTTGAGGAAGGGGCTGTGCCCTGACTGAGTGGAAGCTATGTAAGGAAAAAGGCAGTAGAATGGGAAGGGTTTCCAGGTGGGGAGCAATCCTCACACCATCAGAGCATGTGTGAGGGGGAACTGTGGACTATTTGGAACAGCAGGGCAGCAGATAGGGGGTGGAGAGGGGCAATGAGAAGTGAGCACCTTGATGCCACGTTAGGACTTTGAATTTGACCTTGACCTTGAGATCAAGGCAAAGGAATTTTGTGTTACAGAGTTGCGGTGTGGAGAGGATGGGGCTTCCAACTGTCCTACAGCCAAATGGGCAAATAGAAGAAGGAGTATTGCAGGGAAGGCTGTGGACCTCCCACCTCTCCCAGTTTCCCCAAACAAAGGCACAATCTGCCCTGAGTCATATACCTGCTCTGGCTCTTCTCTCCCCAGTTCCAGGAGCTGCAGTTGGCAGCTGGCCGGCATGGGGATGACCTCAAACACACCCAGAATGAGATCTCAGAGCTGACCCGGCTTGTGCAGAGGCTGCGCTCAGAGATTGAGAGTGTGAAGAAGCAGGTGAGGTTCTGCCTGGCTCCCCCAGGAAGGACAATCAGCTTAGCACACCCCAGCCCCTTCTCCCTCTCTTTGTTTTCCTTCCCAAACTCCCCTTCCTCTGTGGAGCCCCTACTGACCTCCCTTCAAATTGGCTCCCACTTGAACTCTGGAATGATTGGTCTTTTCGTTAAGCCACAGAACTCAGAATAATAAGCTTCTCAGTGCTGGGTTTTGGGATCCACTGCCAAGGATGTGGCTGGATCTTTTCTCTGAAAAGTTGGGTTAGGACAGAGGAGGGTCCAGTCACTGTAGGCATGTGGGGTCCAAGTGAGACCTGTGTGTCTTGGGACTCAGCGGAAGATGCTGTCTACTGTCTCTTAGTGCTCCAACCTGGAAACAGCCATTGCTGATGCGGAACAGCGAGGTGACTGTGCCCTAAAAGATGCCCGAGCCAAGCTGGATGAGCTGGAGGGTGCCCTGCAGCAGGCCAAGGAGGAGCTGGCTCGGATGCTATGCGAGTACCAGGAGCTCATGAGCGTGAAACTGGCCCTGGATGTGGAGATCGCCACCTACCGCAAGCTGCTGGAGGGCGAGGAGTGCAGGTGAGGGGCGAGGGGCTGGAAGAAGTTGTGCAGCCCGCCCCTCCTAATCACCCTCTGAGAGTGGGTGGGACAAAGTGCTGGCCTGGCTGGAGTTGCTTTTTGGCTCAGCCACAAACGTAGCCTGGGCCGGCATTCAGTAAGATAATCTCTTCGCATCATCCTCCACAATTCTCTTTTTGTTCTTCAGAGAGTCTCAGCTCAGTGTCAGCTGCTGCCTTTAACACTGGGCAGACACTTGGAGATATGCTTGCTAATAAAAAGACAGTGGGCCCAAGTTTGGAAGCTCGAGGCACAAGCTCCCTCCCTCCATTAAATTGTATTATTTTCATTATAACTAATTTTATTTCTTTTTTTTCTTATTTAGTTACCTAATATGATTTTCTTTTTTTATTTTAAAAATTTACTTATTTATTTTTATGTATTTGGTACAGGGTCTCACTACACAGTTCAGACTCATAGTGATCCTCCTGTTTTCAGCCTCCCTAGCACTGGGATTACAGGCGTGTTCCACCACACCTGGACTACCTAATATGATTTTCTATGTACCATGGTAGTTTAAAACTTCCCTTTAAGAGAAATGCATGTCCTTAGAAAATGCAGTCAGTTAAAAATACTAAATGTATAATAGTACAAGCTCACAGCCATAGCAATAGTTGAAAGCATGGATGGGCTGTGATACACTGACATTCACTAGGCTAGTTCATTAGCAGCAACTTCCGATTCTAACATTTCCACACATGTGTTTATTGAGGCAGCATCTTCCCAGAAGTAAAAAAAAAAAAAATAGGCTCAAGGCAAACCCTACAAGGGGCCCCAAAACCACAGGCCCCCACATCTCCAAAGTGGGAAGGGTAGATGGGGAGAGAAGAGTGCTTAGAGGTAGCAGGAGCAGTTACCACCACACCTGGGCAGCTGCACGGAGGGCTCATGAAGCTGGTCTAGCTGGTGACTTCTGACCAGTGCCCAGCAGTGGGGTGGGCAGCCCTGGGGCCCATGTGATGGGGACTCACCTGTGTTTCCTCTCTCTGCAGGATGTCCGGGGAATACACAAACTCTGTGAGCATTTGTAAGTATTTCATGTCTTAGAGGGGATATTTTTAGGCAATCAGCAAAGAGAGGAATAGTGCAGGCTCTGCCAGAGGGGCCGCTGCCATCAGAAACTTTCCTCCCTTGCAGAAGCTGCTGCCTTTGTGGTATAGGCAGCTCCCCATCCCACTGTGACAGAGCTCTAGGCTTCTTCCCTAGAAACCTCACTTCTGTTGGAATGACACTCTCAGCCCCACCCCCACCCATCTCTTGTCACTGGATCCCTCCCTCCCCAGGACAGAAGACAAACAAGCATAGTGTTGCTCTTCCCTTTGAGAGTAGAGATATTTGAATACAAATGCAGTGCAAATCAATTTTAATGCTTGCCTAGTCTTCTAAGCAAGGAATGGCAAAAATTCCCTAATTCAAGGGAATTTTTTATCAGTAAATTCTTTAAAAGAGAAAACTTAAGAATGCATCCTAAAATGGATCGCAAGAGCTTGGTTTGCCTGTGCTTTGGCATTGTCTTTTCTTCTGGGGAAGACCTTGCTACTCTTGTTCATTCTGAGTGGAGTGGAGGGGCCCGATGGGATCTGAGTTGTGTTTCTGTGAAGACTTGGATAAGGGAAAGAGACATAAGCTAGCTGGGACTGGGTACTGGAGGGCACCTAGGATCCCCCCTGTTCTAGATGCACACTGATCCCTGTTTCTGTTCTCCACAGCTGTCATCAGCAGCTCTACAGCTGGGACAGCAGGTGCAGGGGCTGGCTTTGGGTTTGGTGGCGCTGGCACCTACGGATACTGGCCCAGTTCAGTCAGTGGAGCTTATGGTATGCTGTCAGGGGGCTGTGTCACTGGCAGTGGGAACTGCAGCCCCCGTGGGGAGGCCAAAACCAGGCTAGGCAGTGCAAGCGAATTCAAGGATGTCCAAGGGAAGACCTTGGCTCTGAGCTTACCTGCCAAGAAAACCATAAGATGAAGTACCAGCCAGTTCTCCAGCATCAGCTCCATGCTTGTTACTCCAGACTCCCTTCTCCAGGAAATTCCCCTGTCCTATTTGTCAACATCTCCTTCTTGCTTTTTGCCATTGCCATCTCCTCCTTCTCTTCCACCTCCCTACCTTAGTCTTCTCAATATCAGAATTAGGACTCTAGGGTTGGAGTCTTCTCACCCATCTTTGTGTTTTCTCTATACTAAAAGACCTGTTAACTCAGTTTACCTTTCCTGATGAGGACCTGACCATCACTTTGCCTGCATGTCCCTTTGTAAAGGAAAGTTCTCATTTACAGATGGTGCCAAGTATTCTGCTGCCCTTCAAATCCTGGTTCAGAGGGTCATCTGGTCATGTGCTCTCTGGACACATGGCAGTTTAAGGGCATTGGTGGACATACAAGAACTGTTGCCTGACAGCTGCCACTCAGGCCAGACACCTAGTCACAGGTTGAAGTGGCATGGCCACGGACCATAAGAGATTGGGGAGTGGTTATAGCTGTTGTTTTCAAAATAGAGCATTTGGGCTCTCAGTCTATGGGTTCTTGTCCTTGTTTAGGCTCCCTTCTCTGCTTTCTGTGTCCCATGAATAAACTTCTGAAATTCATACAGAACCAGGCTGCTTCTCTCTCCTGAGGGAATCCTCTTCTCAGGCCTTGTCTCTTCTGTGTGTGGTGTTACTGAATGGGAACCTGGAACATCTGAGGCCTCTCTTCTCCATACAACCCTCAAAATATCACTTGATCTGAGCGAAAGTGATCCTACAGGGACTGTAATATGCCACCATCATCTTTGCTGACACCCAGCATTCACCTGTACACACCTCCCCCATGCACTGGCTTACCTTAGGCCAGTAGTACAGAGGATGCCCAATCTTTAAGAGCATCCATGTTATTAGGAAGGAGATTCCTCTGATGGCAAGATTTAAAACTGATTAAGAAGTAGGAGATGGCCAGTTTTAGAAAAGCCTGGGATTTGAAATGCTCCCTGTTTTCTGAGAAAAGGACTCAAGTTAGATTCCTCTTTAAAGTAATGACCCTAAGGGCTAGCCAGATAGCTCAGCAGATTAAAGCACTTTCTTAGGCAGACTCATGGGCCAGGGGTTTGATCCCCACCCTGCAGTGCCAGCCTCACTCCTGGGGCATGCTGAGTCATTGATTGAAACTGGGAGTGGTGGCATAAGTGGGGCCTGTAATCCCAGTGCTTGGGAGGCTGAAAAGCAGGAAGGATCACTACGAGTCCAATGTGTAGTGAGACCCTATAGATCCTGTACTAAATACATAAAAAGACCCAAATTCATGTTATTACTTAGTAAAGTTTCCACTGAATTAAGTAAAGATGTATATACCATTGTATATAGATGTGAGTTGATTCACAAATGATTCACAAATTCACCTACCTTAATAGGTACTTAAGTACCTATTTAAGTAGGAGTTAACCCATTTTGCACTATACTTTGCCTACAAAACACTTGCATTATCAGAGATGTTTTGTAGACCCCAAGGCTCCAATGACACTGTCAAGATGTGAGAGAACACAAAGGCAAATAAGAGACAAGCACACACTCAAGTTACATCTGAACAGGATCACTGAGTGTCTATGAGAGAGTGTTTCTGTTACTTTTTTCCCTCTCACTGCTGAGACAAAAGACCTGATGTTCAAAATTAAGGAAGGAGGCTGGGGAGATAGCTCAGTGGTCTAAGCACCTGCTCAGCAAGCACAAGGACTTGGATTTGATCTCTGGTACCACATGCTGCACCAGGCTAGCCATTCTGGAGCATAGTGGCACATTCCTGTAATCCCAGCACTGGGAAGGCTGAGATAGGAGGATCACTATGAGTCCAAATTGTGTATTAAGACCCTGTACCAAATAAATAAATAAATAAATAAATAAATAAATAAATAATCAAAATTAAGAAAAGAAAGCCTTACTTAGCTCACAGTTTGTAGAGGTTTCAGTCCATAATCAGCTAGCTCCAAGGCAGGGTGGCATGGCTAAGGGGCAACCATTCACGAAGGTAGAAAACAGTGAAAGCAACAAGAGCATAAAGGGGAGAGGAAGCCTCTTTCCTCCTTTATACTAAAAGCAGCCTACCCCCCCTAGGATGGATGTGGCACTCACACCATCCCCATGCCTTTCCTTTGCACATGCTGAGGATGTCTACAAAGTGAGGACTCTGGCTCCCTGCTGAGTTGCTTAAACTTTTAAACTTCTCAAGTTGACACAATGAATCAACCATTACAACACCCCAGAGCATAAACAGCTGCCCTAGGGCATGTCCTCTACACCCTAACATCTAGAACTGAGTTGCTTAGTTAACTCACCTGAATTACGTAGCTCTAAACTTTTCAAACTGACAGCGTATCAGTTATTGCAGTCTAAATTTCAAGTGCAGAGCTCTGCATTTGGAATGTCTTTGCAACTAACTGGTGGTCATAAGCAAAGTTCTCAATCTCTTTGATCTCATTTCTTTAGCTATAAACTAGGCAGAATAATAATCCCAGGTTATAGTTAGGTTGAAATGAGACAATATGACCATGTTTTGTGTAATTCCTGGCACAAAGTTGATGTTTACTAAATCAGAAGCTTGTCTTTTTTTTAGTTCAAAAATCTGAGTTAACTCATGGAAAGCGGTACATAGATGCTGGTAAAATAATTTATTTTATTATTATTACTTTTTTGGAACTTAAAAAAGCCTTTATTACTGTGCTCAGGGCCGTCAGTCAGTTCTCATGCAGAAGACTGAGCAGTGCCTAGCCCAGAAGCAAAGGTTCCCCCCCCCCATAATTTTATTGAGAAACAAATAGCAATGAGACAGTTTCAAACCAAATTGGTAGGACAGTTTCAATAATTAACACATTGCATACATTCTCCCTAGTGGTTAATTGCTATACAAGATATAGACATGATATCCTATTTACAAACACTATTAGAACAAATCCCTCTATTCATTAAGAGAATGTAACTATATATCTATCCTAACCACTTTGAATACACAGATACAAAATGGACATTCATCTGTATCCCCTTCTCTTGTTTAGTTCTGTTATTTGACTATTATAGGGGTGTTAACTCAGCAAAATATTCTAAAAGAGTTCAGTATCCCATAATAGTATTGGGTCTTCTGCTTGGCTGGCAATGTCAGAAATTTTTGACTTGAGTCCTCTACAGCTCAACATAACAGCATGGCTTTACTTCTTATACTTCGTTTTTATACTTTTCTGCTGGGTGGTTAAGACCAAGGTAAAGCAGGAGCTATGCAACAAGAGTTGTAGCTTTTGGGTCTGATAAGGTCAGTGAAACCCTCTCAGGATTTTGTCCTGAGATCCTGTACCTCAGATTGCAGAATCTTTGTCAATGTCAGCCATTGGTAAAATAATTTATAAAATCCAAACTTTAAAAAGACCATCTCATCTTGTAACTAATAAAACTAGATTATTTCCCAAAATAAGATTGGTTGGCAGAATAACTTGTCTCAGGAATAACCTCTTGGGACCAGTGAAGAAGGTGTTCTCAATAGTTATTATCTATTACATGCCTGACATATATTACTATTGGAAATCTACAAATGAAAAGACCTGTCCATGCACCTCCTGGACACATCACTATCATAAAAGGTAACTGCAGCAGGATGAGGTGCAAGCAATAAAGGAAAGCGCAGAAGCCTCCAACAGGAGAGCCAGGAACTGTTGGGAGGTCAAGGAAAGCTTGCAGAAGAGGCAAGAAATTTCAGAGGATAGGCAGAAATCTACTAGGAGAACACAAGGAAGAAGTGGGTTTTGTAGCTAGAGGCAAACTACAAGATGAAAATAAAAATTGGTTATTGCCACTGCAGTGAGAAGAGTGAGGCTGGGGCTGGAAGGGTCTCAGTAGGTGACAAGGCAGGCATGATGGCCCTGGGGGTGAGGAAGCAGCAGCAGTGTACCAGAGAGCCTCTTTCTTTTCTGCCAAGAGCTGGGGTTTCATCTTGTAAGGGGAAATGTGGAATCAGGTCCTTGGTCACCAGAAGGACTCTGAGTCAGGAGGACTCTCCATCTCACTGTCCATATGTGACATAGACAGGATACTTCTGCCTGGTTCTCCATTTGCAAAAGGAGTTAATAATAGTAGTCACCTCAGAAAATAGTCCTGAGAATGAAATGTAATGACATTATGTTTAAAAATTATTTAGTTAAGTGCCTTGTACTTGGCAAGTACTCCATAAGCAAAATTATGAGGTACAGACTATTCTTTCAAGAAGCAAAGAAAGTCTAATAGAGATGGGAAGATTACTCAATGAATGCAAACTTAGATAACAAGCATTAGTTATTAAGAGGTATTTCTGTCACCCAATTTCTGATCAGATTCAGATAATTTAAAGTGATTGCCTCAAACCCTGAGATCTGAGCAGTTCAAGTATACAACAGGAGTAAGTTTCTCACTCACAGTCCAAAGCAGGCTGGAGCAGCTGACCTCTGTGGTTGTTCTGCTGGCTGTTCTGGTGAATTGGACTCTTCTCTCATGCAACCCTGCCACTCAGGACACATGACCTGCAAGGGCACCAAGACAGGACATGGGAGCTGGAGGAGGAAACATGGCTACGGACTGCCTCGTCATTCTGGAAGTTTTACCTTTATTTCCACTCACATTTCCTTGGCCAGCACTAGTTACTTGGCTCTAAGCCCCAACAGAACATCAGAGGAGGGGAATGGGGGGGGGAATGGGGAACAGTGTGAGGATGTTTAGCCTGTCTGGCAGGCTTTGGTGCAGGCTTCCTTAGACCAGAAACCCAATGCTTGTTTCCAGACCATGGATTCTTTCACCTTTGGCCAGAGTTGGAAGGATGTTGGGCATATCCCTAGAATCCAGTCAACACCTTCTTTTGGTTTTGAAAACAACCCAGTGGCTAGCATCATTGTTGTGGGGAAGATCGAGGCTCAAAAGGAAAATGCTCCACACTGAGGAGATTTTGGGAGGTGTTTTTTTCCTCTATTA